TCCGAGGGCTTTGGTGCAAGAGTGCGATTGCGGTTCTGGTTATGATGTTGTCAAGCTTCGCATCCGGAATAGCCATGTTGGTGCTTCGTTGTATTTGGGGATCAGACCTGCCCCAAACTCAACTCGGACCCGTGTGGACGAGGTGCCGACTGCAACTTCGCACACGGCGTGGACGCTGTCCTGCAAGTAGTTGCGCCGTAGTGTAGCACTGCAGCCATGAGGCAATCTTTAAGACCCTCTAGGTTGGATTTTGGGTTTTGTGTTCACGGGTGAGTGGTTGGGAAGGCCTGGAGGCCAAAGGGGTTCGATGCGGGCTAGGGAAGAAGGTGTCTATATCTACCAGCACCCAACATAGCAAAGATCTCCAAAGGCCTCCAGTGAGCCCGCACAATCCCCGGCTTACAAAGAAAGGGCTTTGTTGGTTGGTTGGGCTTATACTAGGCTTCTGTAGTAAGTAGTACATTTTTACGAGGGGGTTTGTAGCATAATCTTGTTCCTCTTCAATTTAGACCCAAACAGCGGTTTGTAGTCGAGGCCTGTCGGAAGTCGGCAGTTGACCTGTGGGGCTTCAGGGGTTTGGGGTAAGATGAAGCCAAAACCGTCTGTCAGGGCGTAAGGGGTTCACAGTTTATAAGGATTAACTTTACTTCCCCACATAATGTCCTTGCCCATGATGCAGAGCCCAGGAAGATCTGGAGCCGGACTGCCAGGAAGCCGTGACAAAGAAGCCCCAGACAGAAAGGCGCGGCATGTGGGCTTTGAAGTTTAGAGTCTATACAGTTCAGGGCCGGTTTAGGGTTCAGGTCCTGCACCACTGTCTACCCATGCTTGTCTAGCTACTGTAAAGGCTGAAAGGTACGATGCCACGATATCACTCTAGATGTAGTATTCAATCGATGAGACATGGAGGGGGGCAGGCAATCAATTCGACAAAGGGTTTTGGCCAACGGGGGGGGGGGGACGGTTCTGTGCCTTGGTTTTGCTTCTTCTTGTTGGGGGGGAGGGGGGGTGATGACGTTCTGTGTTTCAAGATACATTATCATGAGGCTCGTAGGCAGGAAGTAGTAGATTCAAAGTAGCAGATCATACCGTAAGTACGCCTGTCACACGAAACAGGAGTTAACTTAGGATTGAGAATCTACTGAAGTCATGTCACATGCCAAGTCACATCACACATAGAGTAGTTGGGTGTCCTCGCAGCGCCCTCAGAAGTAGGGTAGGTGTCCTTTCGAGGAGTTCCGCAAAGGCACACACGCATGCGCTTGCCGGTGCCAAGGGGTGTCTATGAGCATGTTTGCACGTGTGACTTGTTGCGTGATGCTGTTTTGTCCTCGCGCCCCCCTCAGAACTAGGGAACGCCTGGAGCTCAGCTCATTCAACTTTTGCCACGTCTCTTTTCCAAGCTTACTGGCCAGCGCTTTCGCTTGCAGGTTTACTGGCAGAAGATGCACATAAAAAAATGTCCTTTCATGTCATGGCCTATCACATCATTTCGTATCATGTCATGTCATTTCATGTCATGTCACACGACGGGTTGCTTCAGGAGATTCTCAACCTATGTCAAACCCTGTTTCGTGTCTCGGTATGGTCGCCAGTGCCACTTTCAATCTACCACTTCCCGCGAAACAAGCACCTGCTGTAGGGTCTAGACTCTGAGTCTAGAATCAGCAACACCGGCTCACAGTGCAAAAACTATGCGTTCTCCAAGGCCTCTAAAACAAATAACAAGTTTCTTCTCCTACAATGAAGCACTGATGCACACGAAACATCAGCATTCGTGGTGCAAACCGAACTGCCCTCAACATTTCAGGGCTCAGCAACACCCCCATGGGGAGGTTTCGGGCTTGAGGCTTATTCCCAGGCCCTACAGTAAGCCAAAGAATCATCTAAATACCCAGAGAGCCCAATACCCCTTAAATAAGGAATATACCTTGAATGATAACATTAAGCCCCTCATAATTTATGGTATATTCCTTACTTAAGGGGTATTGGGCTCTCTGGGTACATGCATCGCCGCAGGATGGATTTTAGCGGTCTCGAAGCGGGTCGCTTGACGAAGAGCCTCACGGTGCCGCAGGACCAGGCTTCCGCCTAAACGGGTACTGTGAGCTTTAGAATCTTTTGTTAGGATCAGAAGTTTGGCTTAAGTCAGGGTGATGGATTACTCTGAGAAGCTTCCGAATTCCAGCTTTTGGAGTCTGGGGTATCGGTGCTGCGGCTTCGAAGTATGTGGAGCGTGTAGGGGTTGGCTCCTCTGCAGAGCTCTTGGTGAGCCCTCAAGTCAAGGGTCTTGGGCCTGGGGTTTTTTGAAAAAAAAAAAGACCTCCCCAAGCCTGCGGTCAAAGGATCCTGGTCCCCAACTCGACTGTGAACCCATGTTGTTTTGGGTGTTCAGGTGGATGCCTTGATGACGGCACCTACGCGTGAGCTGCTACTGGAAGTGCCACGGCGTATGAAGGTTTATGGCCAGGCTTCAGGCCATTCCAAGGCGGAACTTGTCCGAAGGTGCATGCATAAGGAGTCCATACACCGTATCGTTGTTTAAAAGAGCTGGGCATTGAGAAGATGGGAGGAATCCCAAGAGTCAGTGAACCCTTAGGAGCCGGAAGCATCGACATCTCTCGATATCCGCGTTACCCGGTCCCGCCCTATCATGTTGTATCAAGCCTCGCAGGTCGCAGGAGCCTACGATATCGAGTTCCAGCATCCTGCCTGATCTGTGGATTTGGGCTTCGGGTCTAGGGATACATGTACGAGCACGTGTTTGGGGCTCATTTGCTTCAGACGTGGCTCAGGGCTGGCTAGCTGTCTCGCGCCGTCTCGGGCTCCCCAAGCTTGCCGCGGACCCCACGTCCGGACAAAATCCGGACTTGGAGCTGAGGGAAGAAGTGCTAGACAAACCGAAACGTCGAAGACTTGTCGACTTCTTTTCGACTGTTCGACAGTTGATTCGGTTCTCAGCCTATCGAAACCAACGCATGCTTGCGTAGCTAGGATCGTGATCCAAAGCATTTGCGACCACTCACATCTCGAGGCCGGCAAGGCGAGTGGTGGAGGTAACCGGCACGGCTGTGCAGCTTGAGAAGGCAGAGAAGGTGGACCGAGGGAGGGCTGCTGGCTCTGCTGTAGGCGCGAATTCTCCTGCATAAGTCTTATGGGATTGTGGGATGACGTGCCTGTAAAGACCCTGCTCCCACGCGCAGCAAATCGGAGGAATGGATTAACTTTGGTGTTCCATCCCAAGGCATGTCGTCCGCTTTGAACTGGAAACCCCTAGCTAAGTGAGAACAGGGCTGGTTGCTGCATGAGCCATTTATCTTTTCACTTCTGCTTAGTACACTACACGAAAATCAAGAGCGATCGCTGTTGGAAGGCTTGTTGGGTTTGGGGCAGAGCCTCGCTGTTTGAATGCTGTAATTATGATGAAAAGACAGGTGTTGCAGGGTCGAGGGTTCGAGGTTGGTTTTGAAGGATTCTCGACCAAGAAGACTTCCTACGGGAAACTGACAGAACCGAGCCCTTGTAAGCTTTCAGTCTCTGCTGCCCCTCTAAGGGAAGCCCAGGCCTGGTATATCCCGGATCCCGTAGCCCCCTCCTGCCAAAAGCTCTACTTTCCGTGTTCCCAGAGACAGAGAGGCCCTCCAGCGCATGGTCGCGCATTGCAACTGGGGCGCCAGCGATTCCAAAATACGGGCCATCCTTCGACCCCGACTGGTCTCCCGGACGGCAAGCTTCGGGTTCCGAAAGGTTGTGCCGACACGCGAAGTAAGTTCGTTCGTCGGTAGCAAGTGATCAGGGCATTTGCAGGTCCATGGGGTAGTTGTTGTAAATAAGTATACCCCTAAGCCGGCATGCCCAACACACACATCCCGGCCAGTGGTGCAACTTCGGAATAGATGGTAGGGCCCCTTGCTGATCTGAGGTTTGGTGCGGTCTGGTTCAGAAGTCGGGGTGAAATTCGTGTTTCTTCTCGCCGGACGTCTTCTTGTAAACAGGACTTCGGGCTTGAAGGCTTTCTTGTTTGGGGGTCCGGGCCACTGTGGTTTGGGTTTGGGATCCCTTTGGTGAGTCTTGTGTACTTCAGGATCTCCATAGTTCCGAAAAAACCAGCCTAAGCCGTATTTTGATCTGTGCATCATGCAAGCACTTCAGTCGCGAGGCGAGCTTGACCATGTCTCCTGAACCAGAACTTCTCCGCTTCATGAGGTTGATATTCAGTATGATCGGGCTTCGTGTACCTTACACTATCGTAGTTGAAAGGGGCGTGGACCGTCGAATCCTGAGAGCCTCAACCCCACACGGCAGCGCGGAAGCTCGGGGAGGTGTGACATCTTGGGCCCTTGGGGTGCAGCGAGGGTGAAGAAAATTCGGCCTAGGGCATAGGGTTCGTTTAGGGAAGTGCCTCTCATCAAGTTTCAGACCCGTCATCACAGTGCTCTGTGGAAGCCAAGGATTACAAATATGTGCTGGCCTCAGCTACGCTTGCTCATGTCGGTGAACAGCAGGCACGGAAAAGCATCAGTCTTTGAGCGAGTGGGTTCAATCAGGCTCTGATGCTAAATAGTAGTAGGACCGCAGGTTCTGAGTTCTGGGAAGTTTCCTCTCGAAGCATACCGGTGCTTCATTACAATTCGCTTTCTTTAAGCCTGTCGCTCCTTTTTTTGGACAATTCTTCGCCTCTCTAGGGCTCTATGCCGAGACAGTGGAAACGAAAGTCAATACGGGTCGCGGGCAACCGTTCCTGACAAAGTTCCTCCGCTCATGTCTTGGCAGCCAGACCGTTTCATTGAAGTGGGACCTCCCAAGTAGCATAATTTTAGTTGCTTTCTCTGTTTTCTCAGATCCCGACACTGTGGTTGCTTTGCGACTTGTGTCATTTCTCCGACGACGCTACTACTCAGTTCTGACCATGCAACAGGAACCACCGCTGTAAACCCGCAGTTTGGTTCAAGAGGTAGTGTGGCCAACGGCCGACAGCCTTTCGTGCTCGAGCCGTGGTCATGCTCGCCTGCTTGTGTGCGGACCCCTGGAACACTCCAGAAGGAGACGAACCTTTGGTGCTGAGCAGGTTGCCTTTAACATTCTCGCTTTTTTCTTCACGGTTTTAGGTTAAGGCTTTTCGGGTCCGTGTCGGGTCCGTTTCCGAGAGGCAAGCCTGCTTCTTGTTGGAGTAGTTGTGGGGTATTGGTTGACATTTTTTGCGCGAAGCTCGGAAAGTAAGGAAGTCCATGTGTCTGATGACCACAATCTCAACGCCCTCGATAGCAGCGAGCCGCCCCAGGATCATGCACCTCGTCCAAGCACTGCAATGTAAAAATCCTTTGTTCAGGACATTCATTATGGGTTTTCGCAGCATTCACTCCGTGGCCCAAATGCTGTAGAGAGCAGCCTCAGACGGGACGCCTGGCAACTCGAAATCACAAGTGTGCCCTAACTCTCGAGACATGAGGCACAGCCGAAGATGTCTTCGCTGGTGCCGCCCATAAAGACAGTGGAGGAGGAAGACGATGCACCGCCAGCTTTCGTTGCCACAGTGTCGCTGGATCCATTGGGACTCGTAGAGTGTAAGTCCCCGTTCTTTCCGGGACCCCCCGACCCTTACCCGAGGGACACGGTGTGACACGGTGATCAGTTCATCAGGCGATGGGGGCACCTCAGCAATAGTACACATCGGATGGTTCTGGAAGGGGGATCGTTGATATTTCCTGCTTGGCCCGTGTAGATCCTGAGAGTCCCAACAACTAAGGTCTGATGAGAAAGCGCAGGTCTTTACGATCGCCTTCTCGAAGTCTCATGGTCATGCGGGCATAAAGTTCGCGTACGTGGACGATCTGCTCGTTGTGGAGGACGTCGGTGCTGACCACATTGCACAGTGGAACAGCATGCCGCCCGGTTGTGTGAGTCAGGTTCAATTTCCCTTCTGCGAAGCCGATGCTCGTGTTTGTCTCCATGCTCACACTTCAAGTGTTGATTGTGCGTATTGTCCTGCATATCGGTTGGCTTGGCTGTATCTGGTTCAATTATACCGTCTACTTTGTTTCTGATTTTAAGCCGTGCCGCCGAAATCTGCTTTCTCCAGACCCTCTCAGAACCATCCGAAGTTGGGTTTGGAGTCCAAAATCCTCCAAGAGCTACTTGAACAACCCGATGCCTTTTTGGGACGGTCTTCGGAAGCCCTGACCCTTAGAATCCGGGCTGCTTGGACAGCACCAGAAGCTGCAACCTCTGGCCTTCGGATCATCGCAGCCGTGAGCAGGGCTGTTAAGGGTTTACGGTGGGGTGGAAGTTTTGGCTAGACCTGGAGCCCAGTGGTAGAGAATGTTCACGGTTATGGATACAACTCCTTAGAGCCTTGGAGCTCCTAATTGCCAGGATTTTCAAGCAGACCAGGCCCATGCTTTGTGGCCTGGGATGGATGGGGAGGATGCTCTAAGTGATGGCATCTTTGGGGCACGACCATAAGAACTGCACACATCATGGGTTTTAAGCACCAATACATTTCACTCCGGGAGCCTTTGCCACCAAAACAGCCTCACACCCAACAACGGAAGCCCCGCTTTCGCGAATCCTCCAGCTTGCACCTCACCAGAGGCCTCAGGAAGAGTTCCAGAAAATGAGGGACCTTAGTTAGTATGAACCGTAAATGGTGGCATGCTTCTTCGAAGGAGGCCAACGCAAGGTGTCCGAATTTAAAGAACCATCCCCCCCGAAGCCCAAGTAAGTGGAGCTCAGATTCCTGTCCAGCATACGCCGCACCACTTCAGAGCAAGCTTAGACCTTAAAGCCCCAATAGTCATAAAAATAAAAACAATAACAATAATAACAATGATAATGATACTGAGAATGATAATGATAAATATAAGAATCATAACCCCTCACTGCCATGAACCCTCCACCCTGCTCAAAACTTTGTTGGAAGCAACCAAAAGGCCTCAAGCCGGAAAGGGCAGATGAAAGGGCTACCAGGCACCCTGATGCTCCGAAACCCTGGAGCCTAGAAACCTTCGAAACACCAACCTGAAGCACTCAGGCAGAAGGATGAGATGGTCAGAGTACAGCCGATGGATCGCATCGTCGCCATCAACGAGAAGCGGGGTACCGCGGAAGAACTCCTCGACCTCTTCAGAGATACTTGGGTCAGAGTAAAGTGTTCGGATTGGTTTTCGATTCTTTTACATTGTTTTTGATAGAGTCAGAGATGCCAGATCTCAGGTCTTGGAGCCGAAGTTTTTTTCTTTTTTTTTTTGGGGGGGGGGGGCGGGGGGG